TAAGCGGTCATTCCAAGGGGCTTGCACTTGACCATTTCCAAATCTCTGCTGGGGACCACCACGTATATGATCAACATTGCACCTCACCTACATTAGGAGAACACGTAGTCAGGCCTCCAACTTGGAGTGGCTTGGCCTAAAAACCTTTGTCCGAGGTGTGGAGGAATGGCGGTCAGTGCATTAACACAGAGAGAGAGAAATGGTGAGAGAGAGAGCAACACACAAACAACATGTCCCTCACATTCACCTTAGGGGCGATCCATTTAGTACGTTCGCATGGAGGGGGGAGGGGGGTTCACACAAATATGTAGGCTTACGTATGGGGGGGTCTACTGACAATGTGCGTACGCATCAGAAACGGGGGGGGGGGGGGTGGTGAAGCCTCGATAATAATTTGGTCGACATTGGCCTCTATTCTACCCGCATACGGGCGAGAGGAGGGTGGGGGGTGGAGTAGAACGCGTGCTGATTGTCAGTAACAATTTACTTCCGAGGCTTATGGGAATGTATTTTCGGAGTGCATTTCACTTCGCGTTATCCCTGAGGATGATTCAGATTAAAATCTAAACACCGGGGGTTGCGTGTCAGCGACGTACCACAAAGACAACGATCCCCCTTATAGCCTTGATGGAGTGTTGGGGCAAGCGCTATGAGAGCCGGAACGGCACGCGACCGGGGGTCGTTGGCCAGCGCCACGCCCGACCGCCTTTGTCTCCCCAGCGGCGATGTTAACACACCGCACCGGGCACTCAATTGTGGCCGAGTCGAGCTCGGCCCGCCGGGTTCGTTCGCGCGGCCGCTGCGAGCGAGCGCGCGCACCCCGAGCTGACGGCGGTGCGGAGGTTTTTGTTCGCGGCAGGGCAACGAGGAAAAGGCTGCAGAGCGCTAATCTCGGGGGAAGCACCTCACCCCCCCTCCCAACACCAACACCACCACCGCCGCCGCGGTTGAGAGTTGCGCAAGAGCGAGCCAGAGACGAGGTTGGGGTTTCTGCGGTGTGGCGGTAATGGTGAAGGTTGTTTGGAGAGCGGGGCGATCGTTTTAACTGTCATCGTGATTACGCATCATCACGATCCATGGGCAGATTGCCTTCAGCGGTAGGTGTCCACTGCAACATTTCGTCATTTGTTTCCAATTGTAGTGCCGATACGCTCAAGTAGTAGCAACATTATTCTGGCACCAATCTCTTAATGTAGTGGTCAAGCCATTCTCTGTTCGGTCTTCCTTTCTTTCCGGTTCCTTCCATTTTTCTGAATCGACAAACTTAGAATTTGCCAATGTGTCCAAATAGTGTCCCTTTCCTTCTCATCACTGCCTGCATCACCAGGCCTTATTCTACGTGCAACCTTTGTCTTTTACGTTGGTCACTCTTCTGTGTCCAGCTTAAATCCAACAGTATCTTATCTCTGTCAGTTTTTTTCTCACGATGCAATAATAACAGTGATCATTGAGTCAGACGACTCTCTTTCGCAGCGATAGATACGGAACCCTCGGTCTTTCCGAATTAAAAAAAAAGTTTCTAATTCTAAAGTGTCATCACAGGACGTGGCGTCAGCTCCGTGACATCATTCTCGCCGCTATGAAATGCCATTCGTGAGTTCCTCAAATGGGTGACGTGATCTACATTTCCGTTGTCCAGAGTTATACTTGGTGTGTAATTTTTTTAAATTAAGTTATGTTGATGAAACGTCCCTACTTTTGTTTCTATGCAGCCCCTGTAAACCCTCCCTTCCCGTGCTCCCTGCTTGCCACTATGGCCGGATCGCTATTGGGCATCGCGGTGACGAGATGTTATCTGCTTTACCTGGTATGTAGGAGGACGTGAGTTAGATCGAGACCCTGAGACCTGGATATTTGGAGTTTGCATGTCGCTCCCCGTGGTCGTGTGAATTTTTCTCCTTGGTCCTCCGGTTTCTCCCTCCACGTTTAGTAACACGCGCTTCGGGTATTTGGCTGTTTTATAACATGATGATAAGCCACTTCGTTCAGCTCTCATTTGTGATAGGCAGGTTGGTTTTGACAAAAAGATCTGTATAGCTGAGTGGGTCTTACCTGATAAATGAAAAAAAATAAGTTTAGTTTTAGTTCATTGAAATAGATCTCATTAGCTCAGTGGGTCTCATCCTAAATAAACTTGACCAGCTGACTGACATCTCGCATTATTATCGCTGAAAGTGGTGTCTTACGACGTCACTTTTGCTTTCACGATCTCGCCGCTAAAACCCAGTCCGCTCAGCCACAGTACCACGAGCATTGCCAACGGCGCTGATGACGGCAGCTTCTCGCGGCACGAGCGACAGCATTCCGCTTGCATAGCGATCGCCTCCCAGGTGACTCGAGGGTACAATCGACTGCCGGAGTCAAATCCCGGTGGTGGGATGGGAGATATTGATCCAGCCCAACATCTCTCCGGGTCGATTAAATGGGTACCACTTTGTGGGCGAGTTCAACAGTCGTTATCTGATGGAACGTGGAATTTCCACCATTGGCTTTGCGGTGCATCAAATAAACAGATGAGCATCAATCTGTCGGCTTATTTGCGCGGAGAAATCATTGACCTTTGTGACCGTACAGGTGCGAAATGTGGACATTTATAAACAGACACATCAATAAAAATGTCGGCATGCGCTGTGTGCGCGTGCTTTATTTCTGAAAGTTTACCCCGGTGGCACGTGGTGTCAAAACAAATTAACTTCCCTCCGTACATGAATGACAATTCGTGTTGTTTGTCTTGGCTATCACGCGGCGGTCTCCTAGCACGCAGGGGCTGTCTGTAAGCGACTTACGTCACGTCTCATCTCAGACACGTTTTCAAAGGGAAACCCCCAGTGGCAGCTGTCCCGCGAAATTAATGAAGAACTTAATTTAAATATAAATATAAAAAAACTATAACAATTTATATATTAAAACGGAGACGCCTTACAATCGCCGTGCCCGCCAATCATCAATCAGAATTTTTTTTTTGGACAGACGATTCATTTACACGTTCCATTCGCGAGTTCGTCATTCACAGGTGTAAGTATAGAGCGTGTAAAAAAACAAAACGTTTCGGAAGGACAACATCAGCAACGTTGATCGCGACGGCATTTCGTGATGACGGGACGATACGCGCACGGTGCGACACACTCGTGACACAACGCGTGACTTATAATGACACAAACCACACTGGTGACATAACGTGAAACAGAGGGCGAGGTGGTGGTGGGGTACCGTTACCCACCAAAGCCAAAGGGGGTGGGGTGGTTACACCTTTGCCTGAAAAAAAAAACATTTTAATTGTTCCATCTTCAACCCTTGCGTCCGTCACGCAAGGCGCATTCCCAAACGCCGTCGATGATTTTGTCCCCCCCCCCCCTCGTCACACGGCTTCACAAAAAGTCAGACCCCCCCCTCAAATATGACGTCACAAAGCTCTTCCCCCCCAAAAAAAAAACATGCTTCAAATCGCTTTAAACTATTGTCATTGTAGTGCGTATTTAACGTGGCGCTGCACTCTGATGTTGCAGTAGAAAACATTTAATAAAAAGTATAATTAAGTAGAACGTGCTGTCTTAAAGTTGCGCATTTTGATGTGACGTCACATTTCTCAAACACCCCCCCCCCTCGTCACACATCGTCACAAATGTCCGACCCCCCCCCCCCCAGGTGCGTGACGTCATTTATGGACGGCCCCTTACCTGCGACACGAGTACGGAATACATAACGCAGTAGATATATGGCATTGCACGGACAAAGTAGGAACGGGAAGGTGGCAGCAGAACGTGTTGCCCAAGCCACGTGGTGCGCCCCCCCCCCCTCACCCCCCGTAATCGTCTGTCCGCCCACGTTTGCCGGTTCCACATTCGTGGGCAAACCCTCCCGAGTGTCCACCAGACACCACCCACCGTCTGTCGCCATCTCAGCCTTCCTTCCCCTCTCGTTCTGGTCGCTTTGGGTCATCGGCTCGTCGAAGATCTCCACCCCCCCCCCCCCTCAATGCCCCCCCCCCCATACGCCCCCCCCTACAAATGATAGCTCAACGAAGTGGCTTATCACGTAGAACTTCATCGCAGCCAAATACTGCACTCTAAACGCATGACTATGGGAACCTCATTTGCCAGTAAAAATATGATAATTGGTTGTTTACCCTTCTATCTGGCAACAAAACTGACACCTTTTTACAAGGAGTCATGTTTGCATAGACCGCAATACCTGCAGTCATAATACAAACAAAAGACATAACTCTGATAATGTATGCACTGTCCTTGAAGTTGATTGGTCCACACCCGAGACAGCTTTCCTTAGAGCCTAGTCTCACATGGGTTGGCATCATCTGGTCCAACTCATGTGAGACTAGGCTCTAAGGAAAGCTGTCTCGGGTGTGGACAAATCAACTTCAAGGACAGTGCACATTATCAGAGTTATGTCATTTGTTTGTATTATGACTGCAGGTATTGCGGTCTATGCAAACATGACTCCTTGTAAAAAGGTGTCAGTTTTGTTGCCGGATAGAAGGGTAAACAACCAATTATCTTAACGCATGGTTTTACATGTGGAGGGACACACCGGAGGACCGAAATTTTAAAAAAATTCCACGCGAAAACGGGGAGAGAGAGACATATCAACTTCAAACACACAGCAAGCGTCATGGCCGGGATCGAACCCACGACCACCTGCATTCCAAGCGAGGTAGTTCATATCTCGCCACCACGGCACATAAGAGGCCCTCATCCAGCAGTGGATTGACACGAGGGGCTGTGCTTGTGTCGCAGAGGCCCTGATGTTGCACCCCTTCTCTCCCAGTCTTCTTCTTATTCTGACGGCTGCCCAGGTCTCCCTTCTCCACTCCTGTCTGACCCTTACTGCCTCCTTGTGACTCCAGCCTCTTCTATATCTCATTCTCCTCCTCCTCTTGCCTCCTCCTCCTCCTCCTCCCCGTGTTTGCCAACTCTTACCCCCATCACCCCCCAACAAACCCTATCCCCATCACCCCTCCCTTCCCCCCACCGTCCCTCCGGAGGTCTCAGCACAACTTCTGCAACGTCTTGAAGATGTTGGCGAGTTCGTCTTCGCTGTCGGCGCTCGAGAGCTGGAAGCTGCCGGGAGACGCCTGCCAGTTGTCCTCCAGCAGCTCGCAGCACCGGCGCGCGAACACAGGCTCCACCTGCACGGGAACCACGCCGCAGACACCGCGTGCGGTGGTGACCAGAGCGCTCGCCGGGGCTCGAGCCGCAAACTTCTCGGCAAAAAAAAAGAAAAAAAAGTGGCAACCGCTGAGCAATGTGGTAATGGTGGTGGTGGTGGTGGATGCGGGTAGCGGAGCAGTAGCACTGGTCAACACTTTTTCTGGCACAAGGTATTCCAACGGGTTTAAGGTAATTTTGGGGTGCTAATTCCAAATCTGGCATCATTTTTTGTCTATCACATCAGGATTTTGAGATATCAAATATTGCATTTTCAATAAAAACTGCAGAAGAAAAATATTAAATAAATGTGGATATCTACATAAAATGATCTTATAAACACACTATCCTAAAAATACAGCACCATATTTTAACACTAAAGCAGTCCCTGACTCGCAACAACTTGCAATCATAAGTGACAGAGTTAATTTCGGGTAAAATCAATGAAAATGGGGTATGCCGATAGCATAAAAATGAGATGTGATAGAGCAAATCTGAGAACATATTTGGAATCAGCACCCTGAAATTAGTCTAAAACAGCTGCAACAGTCCAGGCCAGAATTTTTTTTTTTTATGTTGACCAGTGTAATGTAGCGGAGAGCGCTACGCTGCGCTACGGCCACCAACGCCGGTGACGATTATCTGAACCGGTGCTGGGCCTCCCCCAGGTCGACTCAGCATCAAATGAGTACTTGGCGCAGTGTGTAAACATCACCCACTCGGGAGACAAAGGCGTCCGGGCGTGGTGCTGGCCACCCAGCCCCTCGTGTGCCGTGCCGGCCTTCATAGGTGCTCCTTCCTAAGTTGCTGCTCGCTAGCCCCAACACTCCGCTAAGGCTAAACGGGGGAATCTCTGCTTTCTATCAACGCACTCGCACCCGTGGCTTAGACTTTCACATGTGTTACAGGTTATAAAGTCAAGATGATAATAAGGGGAGGTGGCGCGTGACTGGTAGTAGCTGCAACCGCAGCGAGAGGTCTACTATGAACAAAAAAATAAATTACGTTGCCAGGTAAAGCCCACTGAGCTGTACAGCTCTTTTTAATGAGCGACCTGGCCACACATGATAGCTAAACGAAGTGGCTTATCATCGTGTAGAAAGTTATAGCAGCCAAATACTCCAAAACGCGTGATGTTGGTTCTAAATGTGGAGAGGAAAACACCACGCGACCACGGACAGAGAGAGAGAGACACCGCAAACTTCAAATTTACAGCAGGCGCCAGGGTCGGGATTGAACCCACGACCTCCTGCATACCAGGCGAGGTAGTTAATATCTCCTAGCCACCGTGATGATGATGAGAGAGAGAGAGACATGCAAACTCCAAATATACAGCATATGTCAGGATCGGGATCGAATCCACGACCTATTGTATACCAGGCGAGGTAGTTAACATCTCGAGAGCCGAATGGCTCACAGGGCTATACCTAATGAACTGAACTGATGAACTAATAATCTCGCCGGCGTGGTGGTCGATACTTGATGTGGTGTGCCGCACGCCGAATCGTCGCTTGTGAGACACTCACGTGCACTGTGAGGAGCTTCCTCCGCTTTCCGGAGTCCGGGTACTCCTCACCAAAGCAGAAGATGCTCTCAAACAGAGGTACTGGCCCCTCTCCACGCGCGTACGCCTCCAGCTCTGAAAACACAAACGCCGTGATTGAATTCTCGTGTTGGCTTCTTCGTGTCGTTACCGTTGCTGCTACGCCTGTTCCCACCCAGGAGTTCCCGACTCACTGAGTCACTGGTGTTGGTGACGGTGACAAAGCGCTCTGTAGATCCTGGCGCCACGGTGGCCAGATGTTAACTACCTCACCTGGTTTACAAGAGGTCGTGGTGTTCGATCCTCACCCTGACACCTGTATATTTGGAGTTAGAATGTTCGCCCGGTGGTCGCGTGGAATTTTTTTCCGGGTCCTCCGGTTTTCCCCTCCACATTTAGAAACGTGGGTTTAGCGTATTTGGCTGCGATAATTGCCACGTGATGAACTACTTCGTTGAGCTATCATTAGTGACCAGGTAGTTTCTGGACGAAAAAAAAAAAACATCTGTACAACTCAGTGGTCCTTACCCAGCAAAAAAAAGTTCATACAGTAGTCAGTTTTAAATAGTTTAACAGTTTAATTTTCAGTTTAATTTATTATGTACTAGCTTTACTTCCCGGCTTCGCCCGTAACTTGGATTCACCACGCCCGGTCGCCTTTGCCCCCCCCAGGTGGCGATGTTCACAAACCACACCAGTTACTCGTTTGAGGCTGAGTCGACCTAGGGGAGGCCCAAGACCGGTTCAAATAAACGTCACCGGCGGTGGCCGTGAGCGGGAATCGAACTCCGGTCGCCGGGTTCGTAGCGCAGCGCGCTAACCACTACACTACAATGCGTTACACTTCCACATGTGCGGGTCACGTGACAGATTTGACGTCACAGCTTACTTGAAATGCAAAAAAATACATGCATTATTGAGCTCCCCCCCCCAAAAAAAAAAACCCCAAAAAAGTTTTTTTTTTGCATGGTGTCCAGTCTGGAAAGTACCCACATTGCAAATTTCAAGTTTGTTGCATGTCGGGAAGTACGCTAAACATTTTTAACAGACACACATATTCACAAATTTGTCTTTTATATATATGGAGATGGAGATAACCCTGTGAGCCATGCGGCTCTTGACAAAACAAAAACATGAACAAGAAACATCTTAAAGTGACTACACGCAACAGAAAAATTCATGAAAAAACAGCAAAGTCTTCCAGAAAAAACACCGCATTTCAACGCTGTGTGCAAAAATCCCAGTGGGATGCAAGTCAAACAATAACAACCATAAGACAATGCAGATTAAAGTTATCAGGCTAACTCTGTACTACAACAAACAAACAAGGCTAAATGAAAACGTTTTAAAAATCACCAAAATAAAGCTATAAAAACAATGTAACAGTGATCATTGGAACTGTGATTCAAATGTAACAATAAACGATACACAGAACATGTACGACCAAACTTGCAGCCACGGCTGGCAGCATGAGCCACAGACATTTTGGGTGCAAGTTCTGTTGGCGAGCAGCGCCTACGAAGGCCAGAAACACACAAACCCAACACACGCGGGACACAGAGAGACACAGAGAGACGCAGCACCACCCCCCTCCCACACACCTTTGCAGAAGCGCTGCGTCGAGAACACCTGCACGCTGACGCCGCGGTCCAGCTTATTGGGCCGGCGGCCCTGCGCCTCCGCCACCTGCGGCCCCGTCCAGAACACCCTGGCGGCGCACAGCCGCCTCGCCCGCACGCCCTCGGCCCTCGCCTCCAGCACGAGACCCCGCTCGAGGTGCGACAGGAAAGGCGCGCAGGCGCTCCTCTGGAGCGGGCAGCTCAGCGCCGCCTCCACGTCAGGGAAGGGCAGCTGCTCGAGGTCGCGCGAGCCGAACACCGCCTCGTCGTGCACCGGCGGCTGCCCTTGCGCCACGCGGCAGCCGAGGCCGTTGCGCACGCGGCGCGCCGGGCCCACGCGCTCCCCCAGCACGAAGAACGTCACGTCCAGCTCGAGCGGCTCGCCTGGTGGTGGCCGCGGTGGTGGTGTGATGGTGGTAGGGTGGTGGTGGTGGTGGTGATAGTGTGATAGTTGTGGTGGTAGTGTGATGGTGGTAGGGTGGTGGTGGTGGTGTGGTGGTGGTGGTGGCAGGGTGGTGTGATGGTGTGGTGGTGGTAGAATTGTGGTGGTGGGATGGTGTTGGTGGTAGGGAGGTGGTGGTAGATTTATCAATGGAGGGAGCAGAGCAGAAGTGTAGTGGTTAGTAAAGTGGGCATGGAATACGGATTGGTGGTTGCGTTATCACAAATGTTTTGGAATTGTTGCGGTGTGCTAATGTGTTTTAATCTCTCTCTGTATCTACCCGCTCAATGGGCACGGCAGCGATCGGTGGCGTGCTGAGATTTTCACTCACCGGAGCAGGGAAAAGGCAGCGATGGGAATGTGATCGGGCGGGTGAAGCCACTGACCTCAGCTTTGCAGAGGTCATCTGAAGAAGAATAACATACACGCTGACCACCCTTGCTATGTAAATATATTTATGCTAGAAGATATCTTGGTGACACTTTTTATCATACAACCAAAAACATGGTCACATTTTTGACGGAGGTCCTTTAGTTTTCTTAGGCCGTAGGCCCAGTGCCTCGTGTTCCTGTTGGATAATACGGTTCTGATGGGATGTGCAAAACATTTCTACTTTTCTATTTTCATATTTGGAGAGAACGATACGTGACGGAGGTGTATGGACCGCGCTTTTATTTATTTGCAAATGCATTTTGCGAGTGACAAAATGAGAGATAGTGATAAAGGAAGATGTTTGGAGATGGGAGAGTTTAGAGATGTTGGTTATGCTGGGAAGGCAGGGGGGGGGGGGTAAGTAATTTCCAATCGCGGTTGCTGAGCACAGGTCCACAACACCAAGCGGCCAGCAACAAACAGCATGATGTGAGGCGTAGATAGACGAGCATTGCAATACGTTTTTTTTTATTGGATTGAGAAATGTTATTTTTGACAAGAGCTTTGGATGACAGCAGGCGATTGGAGGAGACTTCCAACGTGGAGCAGTGGCAGGGTAAGAAGCGTGAAGAGGAAGTGGCGTGAATTGCAGTGAGTGGTGAGTGGGTGTGCGCGCGTGCTTGAGTGAGTGGGTGTGTGTGTGTGTGAGTGTTTGGGTGTTTGAGTGGGGAGTGGGAGTGTAGCGGATAGCGCTTTGCTACGAACATGCCGATCTTTACATTGTTAATATGTGTCACTCGTTATTCTCACCTTGTTCAAGGATGGGCCGCCATGCTTGGGGTAGAGGAGCCTCTGCGGTTCTGGCGAGTGGTGGGATGATGGTTGGGTACGGTGAAGGTGGCGGGCGTTTCTCCGAGCTCTCCGCCTGCGGTTGAGACATCGGCTGAGTTCAACTCCGCCACCACTTGTGCTTGCCATTTAAACCCTGATTAAACTGGGGCAGTGGGGGGCTCTCAAGGGTATAGCGAGGTCATGGTCCAAGCCCGATCACCAATGACTCACATAGAGGTCCATGGACCTGCATAAAGGCCCATAGACTCACACAGACGCCCATATACTGACACAGAGGCACATAGACTCACATAGGGCCCATAGACTCACATAGACGCCCATAAACTCACACAGAGGCCCATGGACTCACATAGAGGCCCATAGACTCACATAGAGGGCCATAAACTCACACAGAGGCCCATGGACTCACATAGAGGCCCATATACTGACACAGAGACCCATAGACTCACACAGAGGCCCATAGACTCACATAGAAGCCCATGGACTCACATAGAAGCCCATATACTGACGCAGAGGACCCATGGACTCGCGTCGAGGACTGTAGACTCGCGGAAGAGGCCCATTGGAATGTGGTGGAGTTCCCACCATCGGCTTTGCAGGGTTCGTCAATGTTAGACGAGCGTCAATGGCTCAGCGCGCAAGAGAGCAGCAAGATTGCGTGGGCTCACCGGCAGATCTGTCACCCCGCTTGCACCTCGCTCATTCCTGACGCGGTTGTTCTGACCTGTACGGGCAATATCGGTGACGACGAGGTCACAACGGGGTCACGGCACGGGACGATGTGGTGGGCGCGGAGTTGTTGAGACTCCTAGTCAATCCTCATCCCATTAAGCACGAACACTGTGACTCGGTACAATGCTGGTCCTATTTCCAGCCAGGGCCCTAACACCGGGAGTGTGGGACTTGCCCGAACCCTAACTTCAGCCTGAATCATAACCTTAGCACGAATCTCGTGTCCTTACCCTAATCCTAACCTGGACCCAAACCTTAACACAAATCCTAACCTTATCCCTAACCTTAACCATAGCCCTAATCCTAACCTTAGCACGAACCCCTAATTCTAGCCCTAGCCCTATCCCTTCATACTAACCCTAACCCCTCATGCTCACCATAACCTCAGCCCTAACCCCTCATCCTAACCCTAACCCCTCATGAGAATAGGTTTTCCCCTTTTTTTCTGGCAACAAAACAGGTGTTAAAATATTAAAACACCAAACTGAAACCTTTTACAAGGAATCTTGTGTGCATTAACCACAATGCTTGTGGTCAGAATGCAAACAAAAAACATACTCTGATATTATATTCATTGTCTTTGAAACTGATTGGTCCACACCAGAAACAGCTTTCTTCCAGAGGACGCCAAAAGGCGTACTAACCCCTCATCTTAACTATTATAACCTGCGCCCTGTCACCTAATTCTAACCCTGCCCCTGAGCCCACATCCGAACCCCTCATCTTAACCATTATAATCTCTACCCTAACCCCCGCCCTCGCGCCCATCTGTACCCCCTCAGCTCTCACCCCTAAGTCGCCCCGGGCCACCTCAGCGGCGAGGGGAGTTTGAGCGCTCACCCCTGGGGGAGGAGGAGGCCCCGGTGAGGTGCGTGGGGGGGCCGCTGATGCCGGCGGCGGTCTCGTCGGGCAGCAGGCGGTAGACCTTGTAGGGCCGAGCACCGCCGGTGTGCCGCCGCTCCACCACCTCGGCAAAGTCGGGGCTCTTGCTGAGGGCGCAGCGCAGCCGCGTCTTCCAGCCCGCCGGGTCCGGCTCGTCGACCCCCTCGTGGTGCTTCCGGCGGAACACGGCCCACGCCTGCAGGCGCGCGCGCGCGTGAGCACGTGGACGGAGCGCGCGCGCGCGTGAGCACGTGGACGGAGCGCGCGCGAACCGTGTGAAACGGACGAGCGTGCGGGCAGACGAACGCGTAAAAACGATCGAGCACGCAAACGAATGAACACATGAACGAACGAACGGGAACGAATGAACGTGTGGACACGTAAACGGACGCGTGAACAATCTAACACGTAAACGAATGAACACGTGAACGAACCAACGTGTGAGCACTTGCATAAATGAATTAATGAACGCAATAACGAATGCACAAACTAACGCAGGAACAAACACACTCCTAGAACCCATGAACCCACGACCGACGTACAGACGAACGCGTGAACACATGTACGAACAAACGGTAGTATCTACTGACTATAGCATGTAGGGCAGAAATGCCTACACACCCTACATGCAATCGAGTCAGTAGCGTCTACGGTCAGTAGTGTCTCGTGTGTCAGCAGTATCTGCACACATGGGTGGGGGGGCATCAGTGGGGGTGACGAGCGAGGCGCGAGGTGGAGAGAAGCACGATAATTCCCACGCGACCACGGTGAGTGAGAGATAGAGACACGCGCACTCCAAATAGACAGCAGCCAGGGTCGGGATCGAACCCGCGGATCTCCTGTATACCAGCCGAGCTGGTTAATATATCCTTGCCACCGTGGCGCCCACTTGCATACAGACTCTTAGAGCCTGCATAGAGACTCCCCGTGCCACAGACGTCCGAACAGACGGCTCGTGGCTCTCACCTTGAAGAGCGCCGAGTCGCCATCCAAGTTGTAGTCGTGCTTGGCCGCGTGTTTCCACGGCACCCGGAATGTCCTCCGCTCTGTGTCTTCCCACGCGAGTCCCGGGTAGCGCTGACTGTCGATCTGCTCCACGATCCAGGAGCGCAGTCGCCTCGCGGAGCCCCTGAAGGCGCGCGCCGTCACCCCGCCGGGTTCCACGGAACGACGGCGGGACACAGCCGGGCTGGTGCTGGTGGTGCTGCTGCTGCTTGTGCTCGGGACAATTCGACTGTTGCTGCTGCTGTTATTGCCGAGGCCGATGTTGCTTGCTAAGATGCTGCTGCTGCTGCCGCTGCGACTACTGCAGCCGATTTTGCTGTTGCTCGCGAATAATTCGGCGCTACTGTTGCCGGCGATGAAGTTGCTGCTCCTGCAGCCGATGATGCTGCTGCTGCTTGGGAATAAGTCGCTGCTGCTGCTGCTACTGCAGCCGATGTTGCCGACGCGAAAGTTGCTGCTGCTGCTACTGCAGTCGATGTTGCCGAAGCGAACGTTGCTGCTGCTGCTACTGCAGCCGATGTTGCCGAAGCGAAATTTGCTGCTGCTACCGCAGCCCATGTTGTCGAAGCTAAAGTTGCTGCTGCTGCAGCCGATGTTGCTTCTGCTGCTGCCGCCGCCGGTGTCGGTGCAACTGAAGTTGCGGGTGATGGTGTTGCCGATTGCTGGCAACGTGGCAACCCGGTCGGGAATGCGTGCGCCGTGCAGCGAGAGCTGGGCGCACGTGTCGAGAACCGGTGCGGGGCGATATCCGACGTCCTCCAATGACCCGAAGAGAGTGGACGACATTTGCGCCTGCTGAGCGAGAAACCAGTGGTGGTGGTGGTGGTGTTGGGGACCGCGTGGAAACGCCGTGAGCAACGCGAAAGTTGCTGTCAAATCGCACAGCCCATGCAACAATTCGCGTCGGAGCGCCCCGTTGTAGAATGTGCTGTTGGAAGAGGCGGGGTTGTAGGGACCCAGAGCAAGTCCCCGGGGTACGGCAAATCGGGGGGCGATATTTGATTGTTTAGCAGGTAAGGCCCACTGAGATATCCGGCTCTATTTTCGGAAGCGACGTGGCCACAAATGATGGCTCAACGAAGTTGGCTCATCGTGTGGAAATGTCTAGCAGCCGAATACTCGAAGCGCGCGATTCTTAATGTGGAAGGAAAAACCTAGAGGACCCGGAGAAAAAAATCCACGCGACCACGGGGAGAGCGAGAGACAATGTGTGCGTGTACACTTGTATACGTGTACACACACACACACACGCGTTGAACAAGTGTACACACGCACACGGAACACATGTACACACACACACGCGTTGAACAAGTGTTCACGTGTACACACACACGAACAATGAGAGCTCAATCTAACTGTTCAGCGGCAGACATCGTTAGTCGCTTACGCGTCTCGTGGGACTGTTTAACGATCATCGGGCGCGTGCAGCGTGTAACGAATAGATTTGTACTAGAAGGGGTGGTAAATTGATACACGCTGAAAGACGTCGCTTGAGGACTGGAGTGTGGGGAAAAACCAAATTGACAAAAGCACGGAATTAATTCAAACTCCAGAAGCGAACATTAACAAAAAAAGTAAAAACACTTGGTCGAGTGTGGAGTCTGAGACGAACACTTCAACGTGTTAGGAGGTAGTAAGAAGAAAAAAAGCGATACCTCTGCACGGAGTTGTCGGCAAAGGATGACGAAGAATACCGAGGCTGATGATGATGATGATGTTGGAAGCAGAGAGAATTTGCAGCCTCACGACTTTTGTCCGGGCAAGCGATTGAGGATCCGACGCTGGGTCGAGTGATCTTAAATAGCGGTTCTAAGGTGCACGGGGAGGAGTGAGAGGTGAGGGAGACGAGGGGCGAGTGAGGGGGCTGGCGAGTCGAGGAGGGAGAATGGGTGCGTGGATTTCCTTCTAAAGTTGTGAGCGGGAGGTGTTGTGGTGATGTGGGGGAGGAGTTGTCGGTGTGGGAGTTGGTCACGGGATAGGGGTGGGGGATGACTTGATAACATTTGTTGATGGAAGTTGTGCATTTACAGGAATTGCTATTTTTAGAAACGTCAGAATGCTCGTTGTTCAGCGAAATGAGTTGTTGGTAGTGTTTTCTTCTTTTAGCTTTTGTTTTTAGCGGTATTTCCAGAGCAAGTATCAAGCTCACTTGATACAGTAAATTTAGCTGTGACGGTCCCACCTGATGACGGAGACTTGTGTTGCCTCCGAAACGTCGTGATTTATTACTTTATTTCTATTATTATTTCTATTATTTTTATTATTTATTTTTACCTACGTGACTTTACCGAAAAAAACCTAAGAGTATGAATCCTTGCAGTCACGAAAGCTTCAAATCTCGAATTTACGGACAAACTTATGAATGTCATGTAATTTTTTTTTTACAAATCGTGACAAAAAACAATAGATAGGGCATCTTCATCTCAGTCAAGTCTGTAAGTAATCAGCAACCAACTGCATGGTGACTGGATGCAGAATCTCGCAACCAGGAAAACCACGGGCATTTCAGACGAAAACAATCCCTCCGTGAAGCCTTTACAGGCTGCTGCAGCAAGTTGCTGCTCGTGAGTACCTACGAAGGCGATGTTGACATATGACACACATTTGAGGTTTAGTTGATCTGGGAAAGCCCTGGACTGGTTTAGATACTCGTCACTAGCGTTAGCAGTTAGCAGGATTTTAACTCACGTCACCAGGTTCATGTCACGGGGCACGCACGGCTATACCTCCCCTCCCCACGACTACAATAACAACTGCCTTTGGCCAGTAAGGGGTGGTGATGTCACCATGGCGCTTGGACCAGGCTATGTGCACCTTAATGCCACGTGAAGTGTCGAATGCCCGTTGACAGTAGGTCACGGGACAGACCCAGGTGCCATGGGTTGACTGACTGGGATGACTGGCCAATGCACCACTTGTGCCCCCTACTGTGCCAACTTGCTGTGTTGTCGCCACCTGGTGCTCCACTCGTTGTGAGCGTCGCTCCTCTGCCCTCCTTTGTTGCTGGAGGGTGACTGCCTCCAACTGCCCAGTAGCGTCCTTCACGAGCCTCCTCCACAGAGGCCGATCTTGACACCGCTGTTACCCGTCATTAGCAAGTCCACTCAACCCTGCAAACTCTTGTACCACATCACTCCATTTCTTCTCTAGCCCACTCCGTGCACATTTAGCCCCCTCTATCCAGCCGATCAAAAGCTGTTCAGGCGTGCGGTGGCTGGGCATGCGGACTACATAACTCAGCTAACGCAGCCTTGCCTGCCGAAGGAGCTCACCGATTGGACTTTGTCCAGATCTGTCAAGGATTTGTGAACTCCTCACACAATCCAGCCTAGTTAAACACCGGATGGATCGTTGTCAGGTCAGTCTAAATGTTTCTAACCGGTGAAGATGCTCCATTAGGGGGTCGAGGTTTCGCAAGCATAGGGAATGGTGGGCATGACCATGACTAAGAAGACCCAAAGCTCCCTGTGGAGCGACAGACCAGGTATCTTCCATATAGCGTCAGGCAGCCGATGAAAAGATAATCCCGCTCGACTGCTTCAGAGTGAGACCTCTGATGTCAAACCAGAACCGGTCATGAGCACACTGCCCACTACCCCACCCACGCAACACACACACACACACATTTTGCAATGAATGTACGCAGAATAGGATAAACAGGGAGTAGGTTGAAGGGAAGGAATTTGGTAAAACATAATAATAATAATGTATGACAGTGTGTTGCTTTATACTTGCGATACCCCCCAAACGCATGACTGAGGATTGTGAATGCACCTTCGCGAGTGTGGGCAGCGAGGCAGAGGAGAAATCGCCCCTGCATGTGCAGTGGCATTTACTCAGTGGCAGAGCTGGACGATTATTGAACATACATGTTCAGCGAAACTACAAACCTATTCCTGGTGGTACAGCAACCCACGAAGACCACTCATCCTTGCAGCGTTGCACAGCGCTCTGAACACCAATAGAGGGAACAAGCTGCGGTCGGTCTGACCATTTCTCTCAGTATCTAGCAATTGACTGACCAGAACAGGTCTGTCGGAAAGACAGCGTCCCATTCAGACGCAATTCGCCAGAAATTCTGGCGAATTGCCCGATGATGCTGGTTGCAATTACCAGCGAAACGTCGTACTCAAATTGTAAATGTTGTGGCTTCAACACACCGGTGGGCTAAAGCAGTGAACTATTTGTCTTTGTCAACGTGACACATTTTTACTGATTGGCCGTGTCGGGTGGTGGAGGGTTACGACACATTTATAAATAAACGCGATCTAAACCCAAAAACGTTGATTATGAATAACATTGGTCGCGAAAGCCTACGTGTTTAACTTCCCGTATTGTGTCTCTGGGCTGTTGTACCCGAACTCACCGGACGGTGAAAAGGAGGGCGCTGGTTTCGATGTTGGATTGCCACTCACCACGAACGCAAATGTCTCATTGTTAGAGACGATGTCTTCCTCGCTCACCCCACCCCTACCACCCGTCACGTAATTTGTTTGCTCTACGCCCACGGCATTGCACGCACATCTAATTTCTTCTCGGAATGCTTTTTTTAATTTATTCAAATTTTAAAGGGCACCCACAGCTCACCCACTCGGCACACCCATCCCTCCACCCACCCACCCACCTTGGCGAGTGTCAGTAGTCGCTAAGGAAACTAGATGACTCAGCACGTCAGTAATACTATGAATACCTACTATCATCACCCAGGAATGTCTGTCCTTAACGCTCATGACGTCACTCCACATAGACCAGCCCCCCTCATTAATAATCATGAGCAAGTGACGTCACTCCACATAGACCAGCCCCCTCATTAATATTCATGAGCAGGTGATGTCCTCCAAATAGGCACCCCCCCTCTCAATAATAATCATGAGCAAGTGACGTCACTCCACATCGAACTGCCCCCCTCATTAATAATCATGAGCAGGTGACGCCCTCCAAATGGACACCCCCCCCCCCCATTATTATTACCTACGATAATGAGCCGAGAATGTCCGTGTGCAACGCTGTTGACGTCACTCCACGACGACCAGACCTCCTCGTTAATAATCTGTGTGTTTGTCTCTCTCTCTCTCTCTGTGTCTCTCTCTCTGTATGTGTGTCTCTCTCCGAGCTTGCATTCCTTCACACCTGATGACGGTTGCTTGTGTTGCAATCGAAACGTCGTATTCTATTATTTATTTTCTTTTATTTCTACGTGACTTTACCGAAATAACCAAAGAGTCATTCCTGCAGTCACGAAGCTTCAAATCAATCATATATTTGTTTTACCCTCGAGAGCCACATTGAGTCAAAGCACTTTTGTTCAGAAAGTGCTGACGCTGCAGCCGCCGCATCTACTGGACATCTGTAAAAAAAAAAGCTTTCTAGCTCATCGGATTCTTCCAGTGTAAATACATATTGCCAATGGACTGTTTATTTGAAAGAAGTGTCCATCCAATGAATGATGAGCTCTGTTAATGATAATAATAGTCACTGCTCACGTGCGGAGGAGGAAAACCGGATCACAGGGAGAAACCCCCACGCGTTTTGCGTGGGTGCGACGCTTGGTGTTGCCGTAGAGACGAAGCAAACATTTTTGGGTCATTTTTTCTCCCTCCTGATGACGATCGCTTGTGATGTGATCGAATCGTCGTAGTTTATTTTTGTTATTTTCTTTGAACCTATCTACGTGACTTTACCGAAAGACCCAAAGAATATGAATTCCTGCAGTCACGAAAGCTTTATTAGTCACGAAGTAAACAGTCGGGCGATTAGTCTACACTCTCATGGCGAGCCAGGATGCGGTGCCTCCTCGTCGATGCCAACCCACGGGAAGGGAGTTCCACAACCAACGTCTGCGTGTGGTTCACCAACCCTCGCCTTCATTGCGAGAGGGCGCCATTCTGGCAGTGGGGGTGAGCGATGATCAGAATCAGCATCAGAATATGTGTTTACACTGGTAGGAACCCACTGGTTCCACCAGCCCACAGGGGATTATTGTGTCCGTCCGTCCGTTGTGCAGGGAGGGGCTTGGTGGGGAGGGAGGGGCTGGGTGGGGAGGGGAGGGTGGGGAGGGGCTGGGTGGGGAGGGTGGGGCTGGGTGGGGAGGGTGGGGAGGAGCTGGGTGGGGAGGGTGGGGGGTGGGAGGGGTGGGGCTGGTTGGGGAGGGGCTAGTCACCCCGTGGTGCCCTTATAAAACTCAACGTTTAACCTACTCACGCCGGCTTGTGCCCGCCTTCACAGTCGGGCATATTTGCGGAATACACCACGCCACTCTTGACCCTGGCCATTGACCGAGCAACCCAACGTTTCTACCAGCTCCCTCCGCAGGAATGTGTTACGAGAGGAATCCGATGAGCGATGAATATATTTTTCACAGGAGTCCAGTATTGCTATTGTGTCATCCCAATTTGAATTCATTTGCTGTGACGGTTTCACCTGAAGACGGAAGCTTGTGTTGCCTCCGAAACGTCGTGATTTTTATTGTTTTATTTTTATTAATTTTAATTTCATTTTTTACCTACGTGACTTTACCGAAAGAACTAAGAGTATGACACATATCCCCCCCAATATTCAAATATGCTGAAAATGTCCCCCCCAATATATTTATATAAAATAAATTTCTGTTTATATGATTGTGGTTATGGTTCTACTTTCTTAATCCCTCATCTCTGCCATGGCATACAATGACACAAGAAAAGGTAAAAAATAAAAAAAACAGAGCAATGTAATACAATACACTATTAAACATTATTGTAGAAAAAAAAACAATCAAAAGTCCATCCTATGTATTAGTGAATTGTTTAAAATTT